AGGAGGATTGGCAGATGTTAGGTCAGGGCTGATCCTCCCGAGCCCCCCGCCGCGCCCCGCGCGCGCCCGCGCCTCGTCTTCCGCGCGCAGCTGGCGCACGGCAGCCCCACGGGCAAGATCGAGGGCTTCACCAACGTCCGCGAGCTCTACGCCAAGATCGCCGAGGCCTTCGGGATCGCGCCCACCGAGGTGAGGACCCCGGACTCCCAGCGCCCGAGGCCCACCCGGCTCCCGCGGGATACGGGTGGAGCCTGGACCCCTGGACTGGGGGCCCCGGACCCCCATCCCTGGATGGAGGGGACCCCCTCACCAGATCTCAGACACTCACCTCTCCGATCCCGGGGTGCCCATACCGGGGGGACCCCTTTGCAGGCCCTGCGCAAAAGATGAGCAGGTCTTAGGGTTGGTGAATTCCCAGATCGTCCCGGAACCCACTCGGCGGACCCAGCTGGGAGTGGACCCCAGCCCTCGGGGAAGCGCCTCTGTGGTTCCTGGGCGCGGCTGGGGGCGGGGGTTCCAGGCAGCCCCCTTTCCAGGCGAGAAATCGGAGGTCGCAGGAAAGGGGGATCAGGGGCTGGGCTGCCCAGGCGTATGCGCCTCGCAGCCCCCAGGGGGCGCCAGCAGCTTCAGACTGGCCTGAAAAAAAGACGGTCTGGGGGTGTCTGGGCGCCAAAGAGTTAAAACGGGAAGTCTGGGGGGTGGGAGAGGGGGGTCTCCTCCTGGCCATAGCCTCCTTCTCACCCTGCTCCCCATTCTGGGGGTCCCAGGCTCCTTCTCGGCCCCACCCCATTCGGAGGGTCCCAGCCCTGCCATTTCCCAGGGGCTGCGGTGGCGGGGTGATGGGCCGGTTTCACACCTCTTCGTGCCTCGGTTTCCCTATCGGGCCCCTGAGCCCATCCCCCCGGTTGTCCTGCGCAGACAGCGGGGTTCAAGCGCCTCATTGATTCTGGGCTCCCCTCCCCGGGACAGATCCTGTTCTGCACCCTGAACAGTCACAAGGTGGACATGCAGAGGCTGCTGGGCGGCCAGATCGGCCTGGAGGACTTCATCTTCGCCCACGTGCGCGGCGAGACCAAGGAGGTGGAGGTCACCAAGACGGAGGACGCGCTGGGGCTGACCATCACCGACAACGGCGCCGGCTACGCCTTCATCAAGGTGCCCGCCCGCGGGGTGGCGCTGGTGACCCCGGGCGCGCCCCCGCCCCTCTCTGGTCTAAGGGGGCTCTGGGGACGCGAGGGGGTGGCCGCGGTGGCCCGGGAGTGACTCTGGGTCCCCGCAGAGGATCAAGGAAGGCAGCATCATCAACCGCATCCAGGCCGTGTGCGTGGGCGACAGCATTGAGGCCATCAACGACCACTCCATCGTCGGCTGCCGCCACTACGAGGTCGCCAAGATGCTCCGCGAGCTGCCCAAGTCGCAGCCGTTCACCCTGCGCCTGGTGCAGCCCAAGAGAGCCTTCGGTGAGGGCCACTGGGGCTGGGGGCTGGCGGGGGGT